TTACATAGGGCTACTTCAAAAACGTGATTTCACAACGTCCTCAGCCCCACCATGGCTGGGGCTGAGGTTCGAAAATTTGAGGAAATAGTACCTCTCGAGATGGCCGGAAATGACACTTTTATATAGTAAAATTCATCATCATCACATTACCATTATAGTCAAAATGAAACGCCAACAAATTTCTCATGATCTTTAATCAGGGATCATTTAAAGAAACTTGCAAAAGGATAAAAACGAAATTGAACAACAGTATCGCATTTCTATCTTAAAAGACCTGACCTGAGATTTATGGATTTAAGATTTTTTAATCACGCTTAGGGCTCTGTGTTCTATTATGCCTATGTATAACGTGTACTGATGGTAATTTACATGTTTAGAAGTATTCATTTTGAGTGATCCCAGGAAAGAATTTGTATTGGCTCAAGAATAAGCTTTAAAATTTTAACACTGTGTACAAAGAGGGGGAGCCGCGGCTCCCACGGCTCCCCCCCCCCCCTTGATACGTCCATGAGCAGTCTTATTTTACATTGTCTGTAACTTGATCTTTAAGATGACCACTATACCAGGGAAAGAAGCAATAGTCAAAGCTGGTCAAAGTGGCAAAAAACTAATGCAGAGCAGAACAATTTTCGGACCATAATGTTGAAAGACATAGCATTCCTGTACAAATCTAGAGTTAAAGCTGTTAATAAAGCTTGCGTTGTTCTTTATTCAGAGGCGGCCTAGGCTTTTAGAATGTTTTTTTTTCCTTTTGATGAGTTATTTTAAACAACATTATAAATGTGTTCACTTCAAGCCATCATCTAGTTCTAGGTCAAGGTAAGTGATTGAGGTAGATCCTTTGATGGTATGACCACAAGAACTGACATGAATGTCCTTAACTTTACAGAGCATTCGCTTAGAAGCAAATATATAATGCATTCTGTGTTGTCAAAATTAACACAGCTTATTTTCAGTAAACTCGGGATCATAGTGAGAAAACGTAAAAATACTATCATCTGCATAAAGTAAAGATCACTAGACATGTTTAGTACTAAATCGTTAACATAGCAAAAATATAAAGTAGCGGCACAAGGTACTTCTATGAGGCACGCCAAGAGAAGTTCAGAATTTCCGACTTAGGGTGACGATCTACCTTCTGTCATCCACATAAGACCTGACCTAGTCAACTGAGTCTAGTCATTGCTCAAATGTGCAGATTCGGTTGGGAAGTTCGGTTTAAAACCAGATTGTAAATTCTATATATAATTTTTATCAAGAATACTTTAAGCTGTTCATAAGCAGATCTTTCTAACATCTTGAAAACTGTGCTGAGAGTACTGATCGGTCAATATTTTTCCGGGCTAAAGCGACATTTCTTCTTATTTAGAGGTTTAACAGAAGCACAATCTCTTAATAGGAACCTAGTGTGTACGTCGTCTAGCCCAGCACTCTTATCGATAAACAGCCTTTTCAACCCAGATTCAACAAATTCCAAGCTAACAGACTTAAGACTAATTTAACGGTCTGTAAATTTTTATGCTTAAAAAGTATGAAATAATTGAGAGCAACAAGTTTGTATAATTTTGATCAAAAATTTGTGGCTACTTCTGTTATGTGAAGAATTTATTAAACACAGGTGCCATTTTCTTTGGTGAAAGTATGGTTTTTTTTACTGTCTAAAACAATACTGGATTCACTTTCGGATTTATTAGAGTAACCTTTGTTGTTTTGGAGTGTTTTATTAGTGAAATATTTTGCCCTTACTTTATGCATATCTCTAACTTATTTCTTAATTTTCGTTAAACGATAACAATTTATTTATTAATTTTATCTTTTCCTAATAATTTGTTTCTTATATATTATCAGAGGAATTTCTGAATTAAACCAGGGTTGGGATGTCTGTTTAGGAGCAACGGGATCTACTACTGATAAAACTTCATCTTTGAACTTAAGCCATGCTTCCTTACAATTAGTAAAACAATTCCAATTAAAGTCCTTTAATTTAGAGACAATAATTTCAGGACAACCATTTGAAAGACCGCAATTTGATATTCCTGTGGGAAGAATACTTAGTTTTAGAATATTTTCTCCTACAGAAAGTGAGAAAAACTCCAGAGTCTGATAGGTGTGCTTCAACAAATGTTGCCAATTCATGAAGAACATTTTCCTACTCGAATTTCTTCTTTGATAAGACGCCAGGCAGTTAACGTAGGCCTATATATAATTGACATTGAAGTCTCCAATTATACTTGTTTTAGATTGGTTGAATTTGTTGCAAACAATCTAGATGAATCAGAATTGTTGAAACATTTTCTTTGTGTTTAAAAAGGTAGTTCCAACCAAATACATTCGGTTTCTTGTTCATGAGATCGTTTCTATTCGAGGATGCACGGTGTATTTTCGCATAAGGGCAAACTCAACTATCATTTATTTTAATAGTATAGCCTCTTATTTTAACCTATTTAATGTCTTTGGTAAAGAAATTATAGCAGTGTGGATTTAGCGAACATCTGCTAAAGACACTCATAGAGGTGTCATTTGTGATCCTTTAACAACTGTATTAATTGTGGGTGATTCTTAAAAATAACTAATCAAATATCGCCCTATACATCATTACAATTATCTTCTTCTTCTTCAATTTTTTAGGTCTCGTTAGAAAATTATGGTTGGAGAGGGGCTTTAATTGTGACAGGAGCAATACACTTGCATGGATTAGTGACAGCGACGGCTCTTGATCCCAGTATTGGCCGCAAACAAGACATCACTTACACAGAAATTGGAAAAAATCCAGAAGATAAAACATTCTTAGGAAAGATTGGAGAAAGTCTTCAACTTTCCGTGTTCAAAAATAAGACATTAAAAGGGTTGTTTTTTGTTTCCGGTTGTAGCTGGTTTGTTTGTGTAATATTCTACTTGAGTTTAATACCTTACGCCATTAGCATTAGTATTGAGCCTTTGCAGGCAAGCTTTCTGAAAACGCTTGTAGGAATGGGATGTGTTATTGCTAGAATAGTACAGTGTATTGTTCCACAGACGGTAAATATATCAACCAAGCTTTTGGTGTTAACACTATTCATCGACGTCGTAGCACTTACATTTTTCATATTCTCGAACCAGTATACTTCTCTGGCTTTATCATCATTTACACATGGAGCGGCGTATGGATTGCAATCCTGCTTAATACTCTTCCTGGCAATAAAGTCGGTGGATACAGCACACGCTGGTGGCGCCATCGCCTGGTGCAAAACATTTGCAGGCATAGGTAACATTTTAGCCGGATTACTGGGTAAGATTGTCTTCTTTTTAGTAACTTTTTTAGTTTTGTTTTCTTACGATGGGTATAACTCCTATGAAGGCCTTTATTCATATCTGTACAAAAACGTAGAAATCCCAATGTTCTAATTCTGTGATTGTCTGGAATGTAGTTATCATTATTATTAATACTATTTGTATATATTTTGTATCTTTTCAGGATTTCTTAAAAGTGACAAGGATTTGCTATTTTGTTTCCAGATAAGCACAGCCTTACAAGCCTTTGCGTTAATTCCAAGTTTATATGTGTTATTTTTATGGCATTGCTCTTCGAAGAATAAAGATACATAAAACATTTTATTTTTCTGTTAAAAAAAGATCGTCGGAGACAATGTCTAGAGACGAGATGTAGACGATCAACCATTTCCAAAAATACTGCTGTCGATAAAACTAGCAAATTCATGAGTACAACTCATTTAACATTGGACTAATGAGAGATGGAGGGACCAACTGGTCTCAATACTTCTGGACTTGTTAAGCTAGGTCCCGTTCTTGAGTATGGTACCCCTCTGTGGCACCCCGACATTAATTAAAAATAGACAGTATAGGTAGAACCAGTGCAATAGCTGATTTGTAAATGTATCTTGGAAAAACACTTATGTCAAAGTGTGTAGAACTGCAAGAGGTCCGACTCTATTATAGGCTATGTTCTCACACGGCTGCTAACGGTTAGCAGGATCCGGATCCTGCTAATCGTTAGCTGCCGTGCGTCCATA